CTGTAGGAAATTGAAAAGTCTGTTTTTTTTTTAAAGATAATTCCCCAAGTCAAAAATTTAGTAACTTTGTTGGCAACACAAGCCTTTTCTACACAAAAAACTTGAAAGCATTGACAATTTTACATTGCATTGCCAACATAATGTCATTTTGACTTTTATCTTTAAAAAAAAAAACAGATTTTAGAGTTAAGTTTCAAGATTTTGACAGCATCTTCAATTTCACTTCTCACCAATAAAGCAATGAATCGAAATTTCATTCACATGATCTGAGTCAAGTTTCATTCGCTTGATGTTGGGTTGGGAACCTCAACCTTGTACAAACCGTAGTTCCATTCTCTTCCCCCACATTCGGCTGTTAAGTGCTCTCTTTGGTAGTATCTCTTTTGGCATTCTGATCACATGATCCATGATCACTGTTCTCCACATTCTAATCTCATTTACGCCCTCTATATAGTTTTCGGAGGATTTTTCTTTCGAAAATCTCCAGCTTGCTTTTCAGCCTATCAGTCATGACCCATGCTTCGCATCCATAACTTAGAACTGGTCTAATGATGGTTTTGTAGATTCTGACCTTGTCCTGTTTCTCACCTCTTCAAATGCGATCTGCATTCTTTCTCTTGTTCTTCTCTCGACGTGAGCCTTATGAGCTTTGTTTCAATCTTCTGCACTGATTACCAAACTGTCTCTTCTTCTTGTCTATTATTTGCTTTGCGGTTTCCAACATTTCAGATTTAGGCTTATTCCAATGTTCCGCAGCACTTAAAGTTTCTGGTGTTTGTTGCTCTTCGAGAAAGTTTTTGCTTTTATGTTTGGGAGACTTCTTCAATCTTAAGTTTTTCAACGTCGAAGCAGTCTAATGTTGCTTCTGGATATTTTGCATCTGAACTTTACCTGGACTAGTAGGTAGTTTGACCAGCAGCATGCTCCTCGTCGGCTTTTCACGTCAGTTATGCTACTTGCTGCTCTTCTGTCTATGAGGACATACCAGAGGTTATTCTAACGTGCAGTTGGACACAAAATGTGCAATAGGAAAAGTAAATTGTGCAGTGGGAAATTAAAATATGTGTAAATTTCATTTATCACGAACAAATAATTGACAAAATATGCTACCCATGAGAATACAATAGCACTATTAACACAATTACTCTAAAATGTATTGCTAATTTTCCCCCAGCACCACCTAAAATTCTCCGTTTGCAAAAATACCTTGGTACCAGCTGTTTAGCCTGTACTGTTTCCTTTACTCTGTGCTGATGCTTAAATGAGAGTCAGCACGGAGTCAAACTAACCCAAACCATAGTGGCTTGCCAAGGATCCCAGTCTGACAGATAAGGAATGCGGTGCAATTTTTTGAAGAGTTCACAACCAAACTTGGATGCCACTAGCCGCCACTGTTTTATAACTATGCAGTGGCGACGCGTGACAAGCAGTCTGGGGGGGGGGGGTAAATGGTACTTGGTTCAAGGGGCGCTTCCTTGCAAATTTCAAGGTCATTCACTTTTCCAGAACAATTATCTCCTTTGTAGGAAAATTAATTTTCTTCAATATATCATGTATTTTCTTTTGGGCATCGGGATTTTTCTCTTGATTCTTCGATCCTCGGGGGGTAATTACCCCCATTACCCCCCATTCAATATTTTCTGCCATGTTGGTTACCCGGATCTCCATGGAATGGATTGGATATTACACGTTCTACCATTGAGGTAAAACCCAAACGCCCATATTTGAATAAAATCCAACTGTCAAATGTTCTATAACCGCCAGTAACCCAGGTCCTGCATAGATTACCGAATTCAATTACCTTATTATAAATTCGTGACGTCATTGATTTCCACTATTGACGTTATAATAACTTCCCCTATTACCGCTGCCTCGCTAAAATTTCATCGGTTAGAGATTTTCAGTTACCGTTTATAACACGGTTACATACGGTTAGTCGCTAAAAAATCCTTAATGTTAGACGCGTTTCATGAGTTATTATGGAACCAAAATAGAAAAAATATGTGAATGTGTGTCAGCACAGAGTGTTAGTAATACATATCACAATAGTACCTACGTATAGTGATTTATTTCCTTTATGTGCAGTGGGAAAAAATCCTTAGAATAACTCCTGGGACATGCATGGTCTATTTGGTTACTGGCAGGTCCACCTGGTATGATCCACGTAGCTTTGTGTATATTCTTATTAGCGAATAGGGTACAGTTTATAACCATATTCTTCTTGCTGGCACAATGGATTATAAATTCTCCATTCTGGTTGGTTCTTTGATGGAGTGAATGTTTGCCTATGGTTCTCAGGAACTCCTCTCAGCCTATTTAGGCATTCATTTCATGTCCCCTATTACGATTTTTATATCGTTTCTTGGGCAGTTTTCGTATGCCTCGTCCAGTTGGTCATAGAATTCAATTCACCCATTTGTCACTTCAGGCGGAATAGCTTTTCTATTAAAAAAAAAATTGACTGATACACTCTTTAGCTCAATTGGAACTTATTAGAGCAACAGGTGAACAATACTTTCTTTATCAACATTGTGTCCATCTTTTTTCAAAATCGGTACGGTTTTAGGGCACTTATAGCCCTTATGAAATAAAATATGGAAAAAATTGCTTCAAATTGAGTTTTTATTTTTTTTTCTGAAGATTTTCGATAGACTTCCACATTCATCTTTTGACAGGTGATAAAAAACATCTGTATCAACATTGTGTCCAAATAGATATTACCACAACCGCACATTACAGTAAACAAAAGTTTGTGTCGCCAACATCTAGGAGAACAATCCACCACCGGTGTATCCCCTCCAATTTGGTTGCCAAATTCTTACGGATTGATATTTTATCATGTTAGGACTTTGCTTCAAAAAGTTGGAGGTTCAAGACTAAAAATGACTACTGGCAACGCCGGTTCTGTAAAGCCGCGTACAGACCGAATTTCCAACGTAGACCAACGTCAATGGCACATGCACTGTCGTTGGGGTTGGAATCGGAAAGCAGTGTACAGGATTCGAGAACATCGTCCACACCGCCGTACACACCAAAGCCAACGCGTTCTAATATAGTTAACATGTGTCGTTGGCTAGCGTTGGAAATTCGGTCTGTACGCGGCTTAAGACAGGCGGAACACACGCTGCAATCGACTGGCATGTCAACGCGCCCATCCACAGAACACTTATATCATATGAGTTAGAACCAGGACACATAGATAAACGAGTTGCACCCGTGTGCATTTCTTCATTATTTTCGTCAAGTGAATGACGGGTTCAGAAGGAAATACGGGTGTTGTTTACACCACTGATGCATCCCTACCATGACCCCCTCGAGCAGCTCACCTTTCCTGGCCCATGGGGGGTCTTATAATCACAATGTATCATCACAACAAACATCAGCTTATGAATGAAATGTAGTGTCTATCTGTGTTAAGATGTTATTGGTTATGGCCTTCATGGTTTGAAAATAATAAAAAATTAGCTTCAAATTGTTTATTTTCTTCCATAATTAATAATAATGAATGGGCAAAAGGGCACTAGGAGTTGTCCTGGAAGTTGAAACTCCACCTGAAATAATGCTAAGGCAAATTTTTGAGAAAATTTTAACTTTGAAGGCTCATAACTTAGAAACGGGACGATTCTGTGAATTTTGGATAAAGCCATTTTATGGGCAATTCAATTTTCTATCGAATGGAACATGATTTATTGAAATCGATCCACGCGTTCGAGAGTTATGGCCCATTTGAGAAGACCATGTCAGGCTGGAAAAGCCTCATCATCATTGTTAATTATTTTATTTTTTTTTTCCGGGCTCAAAAGACGTCCTATGGAAAAATGCCAAATAGCTTTCCTGCTTGTTTTGATATCCTCTATATAGTGAAATTTTTGTTTTTCCAAAATTCGAAAATTTTTTATTTTCCATTGTTTGCATGGAAAACACATAAAAGGACCGAGCCTAAAACTCTTGGGAAAACGGGAAATTAAGGGGGGAAAAGTGGATTCCGATATTTTTCTGGACCTCCTCTATGACGTAGTGAAAGAAAATTCGGAAAATTTCGACTTTGATATTTTGCAAAAAAAAGGCTGACTGGAATATCTCGGAAATGGTAAGTCATAGGAGGTAAGCCTCAAAAAGCTTTTTTATAGATCTCGACGAGTTCTACAATCTGCCCGTGAAGAGTTTTTCTCCACGGCTTACCGTTACGGAGTTATGGCCGGTTGAAGTTTCGATTTTCGACATTCTTGTGTTCTAGCTATAGGGCCAAAAACCAAAGTCAAAATTTCGAAATTTCAAGATAGTTATTTTGTAGAAAAGATCCCAAAAAATCTTAGAACCAGGACTTTTAAAAATTTCAAATGCTTTAAAATTTACCTCACTATTGGCTCACATAGGTACTTTAAAAGTAGGTACATATCTTCATTTACCTACATTGAAATTAGTTTTTGAATATACTTCTAAAACTGTAGGAATCTTTGACTTACTTACAACAAGATGCCCTTATCATTGTGATTATTGTTTTGAAAAATAATCAAACTTCTTTTATAAAACAGATTCTAGAACAATAGTGTCACCAAGTTCCCTGTATAGAATGGTTTTAATCGAAGTGTGTCAGTCAGACACCGAGCTCATAGTGCTGAAATACGGCCATTTTGACCATTCAAGATGACCGCAACTTCCATTATTATCCAAAAGTTCGTTTTGTCTCTTCGCTAAACAATACGCGAGAGGAAGTTTCAAGGTGCGATATACAAACTCGAAATTGACCGATAGGACGGAGTTCTAGTACTTTATAACTGGAGTGTATTTGCAGGAGTTTTGATTTAATAATTTTTCAAATTTCTACCTAGCATAATAAATTTGAATATATTATTTAGATACCTACCTATTTTATAATTCTTGTTTTCTTCTTGTTGTTCAGTTATGTTGATAATGAAGAAGTTATAGTCATTGAATTCAAGAAGACCCAATATATACTAATTCAGATTTGTTCAATATTTCTAAATTATTATTCTTACCTTTTTGCCCAAGAACACTGTACACAAAAAAAATCCAAAAACTCAATTATAATTATCACTAAAAATTTCCGTCATAGAGGGTTAATTAATTCGCGTATCTTTATGTAAATATATATGTGGAGCGTCGTCGCGAGCGGCCCGATTGTGATACCGTTAATCGCCGTCGACGTCTGCCGTCGCGGTGCCGTTTTTTGAAATCCTCAGGCCACGTGGTGTTGCTGTCCCTAAATGGTATTATAATGTCGGGGGTGGAGCTAGAGCAGGAATCGAGGGCGGAGATAGCTACAGGTGCTGTTTGGACACGCCGACAATATTTTTTTTCGAAAGGTTAAAAATGACATATTAGAAAGAATATTCATCTAACATCCATCGATAAATTCTGATAGCGCCTCTTAACTACTATAGTGAATCAATCTACAGTTAATGTGTCTCAAATTCCTAAAATTGATAGAATTTCTGCTTCCGAACTTGTTTTTATCTCTTAGTGGATGTAAAGTTCTTCAAACAGCTTCCATGTTTTTCTGTTTGTTCAGAGCAGTGGGCATCCAGCTGAGCTGAGACTCTGTAACGAATAGAGATATTTTCTCTATCTCTATTGACGTCCCCTCTCTATTGATTTCGAGAAGAGAGAGGAAGACAACAAGTGCCATAGTGATAGGGATAACGATCCCTATCCGTTACAGAGTTCCAGTTTTTACCCTTGACCATCTAGGCCATCATTTTTAATATAATAGGTACATTTCTTCTATTCTGGAAGCACATCATAATAAATTCACGAATGCAATGAAAGAAGTATAGCCTGTTGATTTTAATCTGATACTCTAAAGGAATGTGAGCTGGTGGCTTTCTACATTAGAACTCCAATGGTTACCTGACGTCACACCTGTTTTTGCCATATGAAACACCTTCTCGCTCCTCATACGGAAAGTGTTATATTAAAAACGACGAACTTTACGTGAAGAAGTTGGGAATGTTCGTCAGGAAGTTGGAACTAAGTAGTTGCCAAGGAATGGATAGTTTTGAAAAGAAAGTTGATTAGTTGGAATGCGAATTGAGATCAGTGAAGGTCTCGGCCTCTACTACGACTGGATAACAATTCGAGACTTGCAATAGCTAATGGCTGGAGCTCCGATGACATGGTTACAGGTTCGATTCTACCATTGCGTGATCCAGTGTAAGACTTATTGGAGACTCTTCCGTCTGCTAACGAAACTATTGTTGGAGTACATTTCTGTGTTGTAGTTTGTAAGTGCAGTTCGCTGCAAGTATATGCGAACAATTTGTCAGCTACCAGTAAGGTGTGATAGAACTGACAGTGAAAAAGTCAACAGGTTTGTTGGTTGTTAGCTCGAAGTAATATGTCTTCAAGTTATTTTTCACTCATGACCTCATAATTCAATAGGTTATGGGCCCAGTTCACGTGGAAGTTGCGGTGATTGCGTCGTACTTGTTTAGAAGTGAAAAATCGGAAGTAAAAAATTGTTGCGGACATTGGAAAGAAAAATTCCAGAAATAATAGTTATACTAATTGTTGAAACATAGATACAAGAAATTTGCAGTATGATAGTGTGACACCATTCAATAGTAATAATTATTCAACGCCTGTGGAAACGCAACAGGTATTTATTACCTCATTACAAAAAAGCTAATGCTTGAAAAATAATTGTCTAGTGTCTGGCAGAAAACGTGTTAGAAACCATAAAAGAAAATCAGCGAAAGAAATCATGGAAACTCTAGAACAAAAATATGTTAAAAAGGAATATCTATGCAGGTACAACTGCAGGGGAAGCTAAGGTCAATGAAATTTATGGAAAAAACCCAGTTAAATACATTCTTCACTGATTTTGATCAAACAGTAAGTCAAATTGAATGTTTCGTCTTTCTCAATGATATGCAAGAGATAATATAAGTAACAAAGACGGAACACTCGTTTTCCTGGGAACGCTGCTCCTCTGTTTCAAGAATAAGGACCCTGGAACACAAGAGGTAAGTTACATAGAAGCTAACAGAATATATAAGGCGTGTCAAAGCAAAATTTAATAATGAAATAGACAAAATAAAGTTGGATAATGGTGGCGAATATGTTTCTCAAAAATTGAAAGATTTGTGAAACAATGAAGGAATTCATTTGCAGTACACTGTTCCAAGAAGTCCAGAACAAAATGGGATAGCTGAAAGGCTAAATCTAACAATAATGGAAAATGCGTTGCTTTCTTTTTGATTCTAAATTGGACAAAGAAATGTGGGGTGAGGCTGTTTTGACCTCAGTTTTCTTATTGAACAGAACAGAAACTTCAACCCTGGCCAATCAGAAACTACCTGCTGAGGTATTATCGTATGGATATAAACCAAACAGTTGTTTGGTTGCGAAGCTCACCACAGAGCCAAAGCAAGACAAAAGAAGCCAAAAAATGATTATGATTGGCTATACTGATAATGTATATAGACTATGGCACCCATTAGAAGAGAAAAGTGTATCCGCAAAAAATGTTATTTTAAATGAATTGATAACTAATGACGACAGAGTGGCAATTGCACAAGACAACGAGCAAGTAGATGAGAGAAAACAAGAGTTTACTGAATATTCAAGTGAAGAAGAAGGTGAAAGTGAAACTGCACAAGACCTAAAAAGAGAAAATATGAAAAATTCCGACGCATCTACAAGACTTCCAATTGAATGACGACAATGAAGACTTGTACCAAGATGCAAACCTTATGACAGCACTATCTGCAGGAAATTTGTCATCAGAAGTTCCACAGAATTATAAAGATGCAGTCAAAGATAGTAAATGGAGAAAAGCCGTAGAAGAGGAGCTAAATTCTTTGGAAGAAAATAAAACGTGGACACTTGCGGAAGTTTCTAAGGACATGGAAATCGACTCAAAGTGGGTGTAAGTGTAAGGACGGATTTAATTTTTTTATTCATTTTTAACATCCAGCTGAAAATTCTATATTTTGGGGATGTACAAATAAAAGCAAATTAGTTTTTTGAATTTTTCAATAAAAAAAAAAGGAAAAAAATGGTAGTTCTTCTATGGCACCACTAGGAAACTGAAAACAAAATTTTGAGTCATGAAAATACCATTATTTCTTATGGAAAGCTTGAAAACAGTTAGTTCTTTCGCTAAGACAAAGACCCACTTTGCACGTGGAGCAGTGCTATAAAGTCCACAACAAACTTTGGTTCGATGAATTGGCATGTGAGCAACATTATCGTATTTCCTTTCGGGTGGCACAATTACCTTGAATCGGTTTGGTGGAATAGTGATTCATTTTTCTCGGGTAGGCATTGATGGACCCGCACCTATCAATCCAGGCGCTACCGGAAACCGAAAATCCTTTAGGTTCAGTCCTCTGGCGTCCAATGCTTTGTACGCTAAGTCTACGAAATGCCAAAAAAGTCTTGTAAATACGAATATACTGGTCACAATTATCTACGAAGTTCATGTGCATGTTATAATCCTTCACCAAGGCCAAACATGGACTATCAGTCGAAGTTCCATCCTTTCGCTTTCTTGGAACCGTAACAGTGTAATCAGGATCATGAAAATTGCTTATGAAACGAACGAGTTTTGTGTCTTTCCATTGCAAATACAACAGCCCTCCGGAGCTCATTCCATTCTCCAATCTGAATCACCCCTATTTTTCTTGCTTTTTTCCGACCTTAGATCCTTTGGTTCACCCTTGCGCCCTCTTCTAGTAGTTCCACATGTGTAAATCTTATCTGCCAATAGTTCCTGTTGCAGCTGAATCCCATTGAAGAAATTGTCAAAGTAGACACGGTGATATTTCTCGACCAATGAACGAGTGAGATCTTTTTCAACTCGGCTTCCAAAATTCGATTCGGGCATATCGTTGACTTTTCCTGTAGGTAATTATATATTTCGAATTGACATGCATACCCGGTTTCATTAGCACGAACCGAAATTTTATAACCTCTTTTCATAGGTTTTAGAGGCATATATTGGTGAAACCCTATGCTTGACCATCGATTCGTCAATAGCTTGGTTTTTTTCCTGGACTATAACAGTTCAGGAATTTTGTTGACAGAACCTCTAATATTGGTCGTAATTTATGTAGCTTATCATATTCAGCTTCGTTTTTCTTCGGCTTTAAAGAATTGTCATTCAGATCGATGTTATTCAGTAACCAGCTAAATCTGTCACGTGAAATGGATGTGGAAATATAGGGATCTTTAAGTTCAAACTTTGCAGGCCAATGATCTTGGCTTTCTCGTCAATCCCATCATGACATTCACTCCCAAGAAACGCTGATTTCGTTTCCGGTTGTTGGAAGATAACGATCTCCATGCTTTTGTAATGCTTACAAGTTCGTTTGAAATGCTATTTTGCCTATTAGATCTTGAGGAAAAAGGTATAAAAATACTTCCAACGGTGTCTCTGCAGATTCGGGTATGTTTGGACCAAAAGGTTTATTGAAAGGTTCGGGCTCATTGTATTGAGTCATTTTCATCCACTGTATCTCCTTTCGTTGAGTCACGAAGTTTTGCTAATGGGATGTCATCTTCCGAATCCCAGTCTACGAGGTAGTCTGTGTGTGTGTGATGTCCTGATCATCGATAGCTGCGTCTTAGCCAGTATCTTCAATATTATCATCAACTAACTCATCGTTGTTCACTAGTTCATCTTCAGAAGTAAAAGAGCCCTCATCTGAAGAAATGTCTCCTAGAAAGCAGAATGCATCCTCGGAAGATAACTTGGAGAGGTTGATTTGCCCTGGAACGAGAAAAAATTTGCACTTGTATGACAAGCGCCCTAGTGTTTCCAAAAGGAACCAGAAATATTTGTGTTCGTAATATCGTAATAGAGAAAAAACAGAAAATTGAAGGTGTTATCAATGTATCGATACACTCAGATCATCATATTTCAATCAAAAATAGTATTCGACTCACCGCTCATAATAATTCTCTTGATTTGTGAATCCTCGCCGGAACGCGGCATCAGTGTTGCCAAGTCATACTTTGTTTTGTCAGTAGATTACCAGTCTAAATATCAGTAGAAATCAGTAGACAGATATTAATTAGTTTAACTACGTTTCTTCAAATCATTAAATCATTAGACTATGAAAACTTGCATTAGAAAATCAAACACCAATACCTACTACTTATGAGAAATAGTTTATTAAGATTAAGACACATGAGATATTCCTATTAAATATGCACTACCTATGGG